CTGACAATGGGTGGATAGTTTCGGAGGTCTCTGATTGGCAGATGAGAGTTTATGGGATGTAGTTCTCTGATTGGTGGGAGGGCGAGACTCTGGCAGAACGTTCTCTGATTGGTGATGTGTTTCTGCCCTGAATTTTTTCTGATTGGTAGACGGTTAAAATAAGACAAGCTATCATCTCTACAACATTTTATCACTACAGGTATAAAAATGTCATCTTTAGATTTTTCCTCTTTTTAAGGAGGCAGAAATGACCATAGAGGCTGCCATTCATACCCGTGATGAAGTGTAGAACATAGCAGACTGTGTGATAAATGAATTACATAAAATTCAACTCGTTGCTACTGACCTCTCGTCCACTGCTGTACATCTCCAACACCTTTAGCCAGCTAGCCAGGAGTCCCACTTCTCTTGAATTACCTCATGGCGCGAAAGTTCTAAAGGGTCCGTAAAATTGCCATCGATCGCCGCTAGATCCAACGAGTGGGCAGCTAAAATTGGGGTCAGAGTCGTAAATAAATCTCCAAGATCTCACTGACCATTAGCTATCAACGACTCGGGATGCAAATATCTCGGAGATCTCTAAGAACCACTTCTAGCGTCCTGGTGGATAACTAGGAGAAAATCAATGAATGTTTTGACCTGATGAGCAGAATGCTTACTTCGCGGTCAAATTTTTTTCAGGTCGTCGTGCAGTATTGCTGTCTTAAAACAGGCTGCGACATATTAAGTACCTGTATCTGTATAGCCGGTATAACCGCCCTAAGGCGTAACACACCAGCTTCGAAGGCACGTGGCGCGGCGGCAGCTGACTGGATTACACCGAACGACTTGTTACACCTAACCCTTGAACATCTAACTCTAACTAGCGTTAATGCCCCTACTGTACTTGATGACAGCGAGTTCCACTCTGTGATAGTTATAGGACAGAATGAATTTTAGAACAACTCAATCATTGGTTGATAACTCTGGTACTTGATGGCGACTTCAAGTGACTTCAATGTAGATATTGACAAGATTCTAAGACAACATTATTTTCGTAGAAACACAGATGGATTGTACCACACAAGACCGACCAACTCGCGGCCACAGGTGAATAACCTTGCTTACGACTTACTCCCAAGTATGGTTTGCATAGAGGCCATCGTTGGCTATGTGTGACAGGGGGGCGTAAGGTATCAACGTGCCGGAGAAGCATGTTTCGACCTGTCACACTATCGGAAAATCAATATTTCAACTCCAAAACTGTTTTGTCATCTGGTTACATAACATAAAATATAGTGGAATGTGTTCGTATGAATTATCGAGTATGGTTCACAAAAAACGCAAGTCATGTCTTGATTTATTACGTACCTAAGGCGCCTTGAAGTTTTACAATTGGAAACTCGGCAAAACTCCAACTGTTGCCAAAGCCCACTAGGGTGATTTATATATAGGATCTTTTCTTAGAGCTTCAGTGTCCTGGTAAGTAGCTAGCCTGACAGGCCTCCAATATAAGGTTTTATGTTTTTAGAGTACTGGACTATCCGAAACAATTTTTCATCCTGAATTTAAGTTTTGTCCCCAACACATTTCAAATATCTTCTTGCCTTTAGAATTTATGCATGGCTGGACTTTCACGGTGGTCTACGCAATGTGATATCCCGAAATTTTCTGTCACTGGTTAAGTATTGTTTTGTTACAGTTGTACATACTAGTTAGTGTTGATGTCTCCTATGGTAGTTTATAATCATAAGCCATGACAAGCAAGATATTGTTTGTGTATCATATATGTATAATATGTATAATATTTACCTTCGCATATGGTCTGCTCTGTTAATTACTACTCAATTTAACACAGGAGTCTAAATCCCTCCTACTTTAAAATTGCAACATTATAAGTAAACATATTAACAAACGTTTATGTTTCCAAGAGTGTTAATTTGCAGGTAATTCACCCAGCTCTCTCTATTAAATCATCATTCTTCTATCTACAGTTACATTTATATGACGCTGTCTGAACCACAATTGCTGACACAGACGAATGCAGCCTCGTGTAAACGCTTCGTCAGATTCAGTTTTAATCGACAGACTTTTCTTATATTTTATTCATAGCAGCCATCCGCCACCCGCTTGAAAGATATTCCTGTCCTGTAAGACAAATCCCCTCGCCTCGCGAGGACCTGTATCTTAATTCGATCAAACAGTAGGCAGCTGATACATACGAATAGGTGGAGATTAACCGTAATGACAGAGTTTGATGTGAAATGTCTCAGGCGCCTCGTGGCGTGAAATAGGCTTTTGATGAGACTGGAACGATGGTTAGAGTCTGTGACGTCGCCCGATGATGCTCCTTGTTGTCTTACTACATTTGTATCTATCATAGTGACAGACTGCAGCTGTATCGCAGAACGCACATGTTGTGTACCGCCTTACGTCTTAAGGATAATTCTGCTAGATAATTAAGTCCCACGAGACTTACCACCAAGAGCGAACCTCAACTCAACTGAGTCTGTTTAACGGATTGATACTTTAAAAGGAAAACCTTGCCAGGCGCACGCTGTTAATTGTACCTTTGCCTTGCGTCCTGCTGAATAGCACGTTCACTCAAAGTGCTGTCCTTAGTTAACTTTTATATGTATATAACAAAGCTCATTTGTAGAATTGTCACGAAATAAAGATGACTGTAAACCACTATACATAATCACTAAAACTTATTACGTATGAACTATGCCTTGAGATATAATGTTGTTTAACCCTAAACAGTACACCTGGGGTCCGCGCGGACCCCAGCACTATATATTCTGTAATATCTTTTTTGTTTCTAAAGATTTTTTTCTGAAATTTTAGGTAATTGTCACCCACAAAGTTGTCTCTCAATACAGTGCAGAAAACTCCGTTTCTACCATTTATAAAAAAAATTATATCTGATTTCTTTTTGGTAGTCCGCGCGGACCCC